CATTTGCCACGATATGAGGGTTCATAGTCTGCACCACCCCAAATCAGTAGCACCATCTTCACCTTACGAGTGTCGGAACTTATTATCACCACGCCCACCACGTGAAGGGGATCAAGAGTAGGGTTAAGAGAAACCGAAGCCCGTCTAGACTTCTGATAAATGCGTTTAGAAGCCAGGAGATCGCAAACATAGGCTAAGCTGTTCCTGCGACAGCCACACCCATGCAGGTATGTTGTGTGCTTTGAGAAAGGCCAAGGCAAGTTCGGCACAGAGGCCGCAAGAAATGCCGCTTCTGCTTTCAAGGCTTGAGGCTGTACTATTGTGGGCTTGGGGGTTCAGCCTTTCGGGCCGGATCTGTCTTGAGCTCAGATCCCATTTGCGGGCGTCCTACAAACGATGATGATGACTAGGGCATAGTCGCTTCTTTAGAATGCATCATGATGGAAGCATGCGGTCGTTGTTGGAGTATGGCTAGATATCGTCATTGTCGTCGTCTTCGTGCAATTAGAAGCAAAAGCAGGTTGCGGTGGAGGCAGTGGTCGTGCGAGCAGGAGCAGCCGGAGCAGCGGTGCCAAGACAGTGAAGACAGACCAGGTAAATCGAAGCGTCGTCTTTTTTGGACAGGCACCCGCCACTTCAGGACCTCAATCTCCAAGCGACCTTGATCACTACCGGGTGGCTGAACCCGAACAGCATAGGGGCCTTTCTTATACGTACTATAATTATAGCATAATGGGCCTCTCTTAAAATTACTATAATTGTAGCATAGGGGCCTTTATTATGATTACTATAATCGAACCTGGCTGACCTTGGTCCCCTAAACCCTAAACCCTAAACCCTAAAGCCTTTATTATGATTACTATCATTGAGCCTGGCTGACCTTGGTCCCCAGTCCCAGAGTTCAAAGCTAGAAATCCCTGGTCCCGAATATGCCACGCGCGGATGTTTGCTGATTCCACGGCCCAAGCTCCAAACCCGAATTTTCTGAAATCCTAAACCCAATGCTCGTTTTTGGAGCCCAGCTAGATCCCTGAAATCCTAAACCCAATGCTCGTTTTTGGAATCTAGCTAGAGGATGCTAGAGGATTTGAGACACTGAGCCTCTCTCTTTCGACCGAGTGTCCGACTTGCGAGAGTCGAGATGACTGCTGAACCCCCAAAACCCCTTAAACCCTAAAACCACCAAAACCCCCAAAGCCCCCCCCAAAGCTCCAAACCCCAAAGCTCTCACCCCGGAAAAACTCCCAAAAAGGCACCGCCCTTCGCCGTGCGCAGGCAAAAGAGAAGGCCGAGCGGGAGAAGCGGCAGCTGACGAAGCTCCGAAAGGAGTTCCGCTACCAGGCGGCTCCTTTTGGGGGTGTAGGGCTTCGGGTTTAGGGTTTAGGGTTTGAGGTTCTTGAATGGTTTCTTTACGAGTTGTGAAAGAGGGCTTCGGGTTTAGGAGTTTAGGGTTTCGGGTGTAGAGCTTCGGGTTTAGGTGCGGGGTTTGGGCTTTAGGGATTGAAGGGCTTGAGAAAACAGGGGGCAGCGAGTGTCCAAACTCTACTGTAAACCCTGAACCTTAAACTCTAAGCCAGTCCGAGTTGTGAGAGCGTAAACTCTAAACCCCGAGCCCTCAACCCTACTCCCTTATAGTGACCCCTAGAGATACCCCAGCCCGTATCGTATCTAGACTCAATCTAGACCCCAAAGTCGTACAGCACCCGGATATTATAATTACCCTTGTAGCAAACCTTATAACCCTAAGCCCTAAAAAAGCTCGAGCAAGCAACGGCTCGGTTTGGGGTTTGGGAGTGCCGGAGTGCTAGACGGCTGGAGAGGTGTGGTTTTGTTCCATGTATCAGAGGTACTAGTACTGGCATGTGTACCAACATATATTTGTAATATTCATATATCTATTCATATTAATAGTAGTAGTTAGTATGAATACTAGAAACAAGAGTAGCATTGGTTCATAGGTAGTTGAGTTTTCTGCTTTCCTGCGTCTAGATGACGCTCTACCGGGACCCGGGCTGCAGATACCTTGACCTTCCCCCAAATCGTGGCTTTTCCATAGTAAAACCATCGGTTGGTTAGTATGGATTCTCGAGGCCAGTAGTGTAGGTTAGCTTGAAGTGTACCGCAACTGCAACTCGAAGGCAAGTTCGGGTTGGATTGACCTGCTTTAGGAGGAGAGAGAGAGAGAGAGAGAGAGAGAGTGAGTGTGTGTGTGTGTGTGTAGAGGGTGGGGTTACCACCTTCCTCCTTTGGCCTGGTAGAGAGAGAGAGAGAGAGAGAGAGAGAGAGGGGCCCGAAGAGGGAGGGCCCTTTCAAGAAAGAAGAACCAGAGGGAGGGCTTGTTTCTGTGGTGGGTGGGTTCTTAATGTGGGCGAGGGCTTGTCTTCCGATTGCAGTCGAAGGCCGAGGCCTTGGACCCGAAAGCTTCACCATCCTACCGGAGACTTGTTCTATGTGCGAGTGCAGTTGGATGCGCTTAGTGGCTGTTAAGCACGAGCTACTGTTGGGAGGCTGGCACCGGACCTACAGAAACACGAATGCGGCTCAAACCTACGTTTGACCCTGCCTAAGCTTCCCTACTTCTAAAGCCTGGACCCTAGCAATGTGGAACTAAGATGACTCAGGGCCGCGACAGGGGGCCGCACTCAATGTATCCGTTTTCCCAGGCCGTGCTAGTCGAAATCAGAGTGAGAGGACGTGCACACCCGAACACCCCGCACTTGTCCGTCAGGGCCGAATCGAAAAGGCAGAACATCGTGGTACCACAGTTTCACAGCTCGAAAGAGCCACGGCCCGAGGAATCTTTGAGGCTCCCGGTGTCGGATTTGCAAAGCTTACGTTTTTAGGGGTCAGGGGGATGTCCTTGACCAGTCCTTGACCTTCAACTTTGGGGAGTGTTCAGTTTATGGTTTCCGGACGTTCTTTTAATGCGAGTCTGCTCTGTAGAGGGCCGTCCTGGGGCCCCGGGGTTGAGGGCGCAGGCCTAAGAAATCCGGAAGCAGAGCCTTGCTGAGAGTGTTCCCAGGTTTGCGCCTGCTTGGAGGCCGGGGCCTCAGTTGAGGTGCCGTCATGTTAGTACTGCAAATAAGTTGCACCAGGGCGTCGCAACCGCTGTCACTCTGGTCATCGTCGTCGTACTACTGACTACTGCCGACGACGACTGCTCTTGGTAGACATGCCGACTTGCTTCACTATTCTCATGATCGAGATTGTGATTCTTATGTCTTGCTGCAATGGTAGCAAGAGCGGTGATGAGCCTGGCACTGGAGATTCGGATATTCGGATGATCGTCATTGTCAGAATTGTCAGCTCCTGCCTGGGATGAACGCCATCCTCGACAGTATGCTGGTTGCAGCCGCTTCTCATCAATTCTTCGCCGTGTCATCGTTGCTATGTCACCTTTCGATTCAAGGCAGTTGTATCAAGACAGACCGTAGTTGCTAAGCCCCTAGCCACTTAAAGCCTCAACTGACGGCCCCAGGAGAATTGCTCCGCATGGACAGATCACCTACCAGCAAAGATGTCCAAGACATCCGGGCAGCCGTCTGGAACCCGGAGTGCAGGTCGGGCCTGTCTGTGCAAAGAGGGCAAGAGCAATAAAGGCAACAGCGCACTGTGCACAAGTAGCCCCAAGACTATCCATGAAGGTAGTACCCCGTACTGTCAACAGTATGTATTTTTACTCGCCATCCTGCGTTTGATTGATAGTCAGAACTGTGATACTAACAAGTGCTTGTAGGCATGGAACACAGACCGTCAAACTCGTTTTGTGTAGGCACACCTGGCCAGAAAGGAAGGTTGTCTCAGAGCGTCAGCGGACGCAGGGAATATTATGCATTCACGTTCAGGTGTGCATGGGCCATGCAAGGCTACGAATCGACTTCCTCAACTTTTACCACCTCAGCAAGTACCTCCTCCTGCCTATGACGCAGCCTCTCGGCTGCACCGAGTACAATCTCGGAGAAGAATGGATAGTAAAGGAGCGGCGTCTTGGGTAGCATTGCTGGGAGTTTTGCTCTCTTGCGCTGGCGTTTGGATCCAGGCTTTCCGAGAGTGGAGTAGAAGGAGCAATGCCTGCCGACCTCCCCCGCCGTAGGATCGTGGGGTTCTACGCCGGTTGGTTGACTGTCCGATGGCCACGAAGGGGGACGTGCGCAGGTAGTGACGGCTGTAGTCATCGTCGTCCTTGGGGTATCGGTAGCAGTAGCAGTAGCAGAAGCAGCAGGGCCTGGCAATAGCAATATCAGCAGCATCAGCAGCTGTGGTGTAGCAGAGGAGGAGGAGGAGAATAGTAGTAGTAGTAGTAGTAGTAGTAGTAGTAGTAGTAGTACTAGTAGTAGTACTAGTAGTAGTAGGTGGTGGTGGTGGTGGTGGCGGTGGTGGTAGCGGT